AATTGAAAACAATGTGTACTAAAAAAATGATGTTTTAAAAAAATCTTGATAAAAATTGTATCAATTCATAATAGATAAAACATGAAAGTCTATGAAAGAGAATCATGAAAAAGATATAAATGATAACTTTTCAAATCAAGTACCAAGTATAAAATTATTTTTAATTTTGTTTATAAAACTTAAATGGAAAATATCTTTAAGAACATAAAAAACTAAAAAGCTAAAAAATTTGTTCTTAAAGATTAAACATGTTTTGGTACCCAATTACTCTTGGTACCCAATTACTCTTGGTACCTAATAGTCTAGGGACATTGACCCCTATCATTAAAGCTTAAAGCCCTAGGGTTATGATCTCTTTTGGGCACATTTTGTGCACGGATCCGGTCATAACAATAATTATGCAAATGACACATTCAATTGCAATAAGTGCAATGAAGAGGATGCATTTGTTTATATTGACCATGTGGATGTGCACGTGAAACATTTGCAAACAAAAGTGAATTATTTGAAGCTTTTTGTAAATACGAAATATTTTTAAACAATGGTCTATTTGGAACATTTTGCAACTTAGAAGATTTTTACAAATCATAACAAAATTTTGCAAGATGTTCAAATCTACCGCAAATATTACACTTAATAAACACATGTGGTTCTTTAGAAACATTTGGCAAAAGAAAATTTCTTTTTAAATTAAAACAATACTAGGCCAAATGACCAAAACGACCACAATATTCACACTTATACACATGAGCATGTTTATGATTATCACTAATGTGTGTACATGTGTATGGGAAGAAGAAGCTTGATGGGATGCACAAACATGATTTGGCTTGTTAGGCTTTTGTGCATTATAATAAAATTTAGTAATATGCCATTTACGGCCTCAAATTGAACACTTGTAAATTTTGTTATACTTGTGTGCATAGTGAATAGGTTTCTTGGAAATATTTTTGTGGGACTTTGCACATAAGTCCATAATCTTGTTGTTATTAACAATACAAGTTTTTAATGTTGAATCTAAAGAGAATATTCTACTTTTAACATGATTCAACTCATTATAATCCACACAAGCATTGTTATTAGAAGTAAAACATGCATGATCAATTTAATTTGAAAGAATTAAGCTCTTTTCTTATGTTCTCAACTTCTAACATAGCATCACATTTAGCATGAAACAAACTAGCATTTTCTAATTTTAAATCTTCATTGCATTCTTTAAGATTTATATTTTCATTTGCAATGAGATCAAACTTAGTAGCTAGTGTTTCATGAGAGGATTTTATTTTGACATGCTTGCTTTTTAAGTTAATGTAGCTACGTTGTAATTTCTTATACTCATGCATCAATAATTCATAACCATGTGCGAGTTCATCAATAGTAAGATCATCTTCGTTATCGGACTTGCATACCTCACTAGGGCTATCGCCTAGTGACCGTGTGTATGAAGAGGCTCCTTGTGAACTTGAAGAGGGAACCGCCAAAGATCGTCGGATCGCCTCTAATTTCCCTTGATGTGCTTCAAATAATTTCTAAATTGTATAAGCACTATCAAAATGAGCAAGTTCGTTAAAAATACATGGACCAAAAGCATTATGCATAAATTCTAACACTAACTTGTTCATAGTAAACATTTTCTTGTCATGTTTGCTCCATTTGGATTTATCCGAAGTAGGCACAATATAAACATTGTCAATAACTTTTCATAAATCTATGTTTCTAGATTCAACAAAATTTTTGAATCTACAATACCATTGTTCATAAGGAAAGTTACTATATCTAGGAGCAACATTTATATCGTAGCCTACACCAAACATATCCATAATATATGAGCAAGCGAATTAAATAATATCAAAACAAGATTAGCAACAATAATAAGAGTAAGGGATGTTTAACTCAAGGTAGTTAGACCTCAAATCAAAGAGCACCAAGTTTTGATACCAAATGAAAGTACCCTAGAGGGGGTGAATAGGGTTATTGCTAATCTTATTAGATATTAATGCCGATTAAAACTTTCTTGATTAATTAATTCTTGCAAAAGATATATGAGTGAGTTATGAGCAAGAATATAAATTACAAGCACAAAATAAATGTACAAAAAGCAAACTCAAACACAAGATATGTTCACGAAGTTTGGTCCCCACGACCTACTTCTCCGCTCCTCACTTCGAGGAGATCTCCACTATCTCGACACACCCGATTTGAAAGCCGGAACTTCTCTACACACTCAGTTTTCTAGCTCACCAGAAACTCTACAAGTCTCTCACAATATACATACACAAACTACAACCTCAAGTGTTGGTCCTCACATATCGCCTCCCTCAAGTGCTCAGCTTTACTACCTCTCTCTAGGCTTTACTATCGACGTCACTCCTCTTGGTATCGACTATGTCCTCACCACACACTCCTCTTGGTGTAAATGTGTATTACAAGGTGAAATCTCACAATAAGGCTCAAATACAAGATTTTGTTCTCTATAATAGGTGAGAACATAATTTAAGCTCACTCTCACGGTTACACTCACCACAACCCCAAATTATACAATATGTAAAAATAGTTAAGCTTAATGGTTGTGTGTGCAAGCAATGAGAAAATCAAATATAAACTCAATTAAATATAGCAAATATAAATATAACAATTAAAGCATAAACAAGCTAGAGATATGAGTTTAGAAACACTTCTCTAATCACAAGAGAGAGGGATAGGAAGATTGAAAGCCCAAACTGAAATTGATCTCCTCTTCTTGTAAAACAATATTCACAAAACTAATTTTATAAACAAACACTTAAAACAAACTAAAACTCTTTTTAAACTTGTTTTAAAACTTTTCTTCTTCATTCAGAAGTGAAATAATATAGAGTATATATAGGATGAAGAAACAAAGCTCAAAACCCAAGTGAAATCCAGCAAAATGAAAAAAAAAACAGAAACTAAAAATATAGTCGTTACAGGCCATCACTCGACTGACGGGTTGGATTAGTCGACCGATGAGTTGACCATTATAAGCAACTAACAGCTCATCGGTCAACTGATGAGCATAGTCAGTCGACTGATGACCTCATCAATCAACTGGTCAGTCGACCAAAATAAAACATAAACTTTTAAAAATTGCAGGTTCTTCAGTCGACTTATCAGTCGACTGACCAGTCAACTGATAACAAGTTATCAGCCTGAATTAAATAGTAAAAATAAAATTCAAACATCTTTTAAAAATACCAAATAAATTCAGAAAAATATAAAACTTTGGAAAATAATTGTAAACATGATAATGAACATGTTACAAAAAGAATTTTTCAATTTTTATTTCCCATTTGTAAAATCTCATTATTTTGCAAAATCACATAAGTATGAACATGTTGAAAATTTGAGTTTGCCAAAATGACTTAAACAAAACTTTGAAACGCTTTAGAATGGATTTATAGACTTATACAAGATATGAAAATAGTGTAAGTAAGTCTTCAATCCATAAACATAATATTTTACAATTTCAATAGAATATGAAACACATAAATATGAAAATGAAGATATATATTGTTTCATATCTATATAGCTAAACCAAAACAACTAATCCACATAGAAAACAAATAAGTATTATATATCTATTTGTTTGCAAAAACTTTTGTGGATAAAACACATAAACCATTAAATTGTGTGTGTGTATAATATCGAGCTTAAGGTATTAACACACAAAGTATAAACCCTAAACTAATTTACCCAAGCTTGATAGATCTTCAATATGCTTGATTTGGTTGCGGATGAAGCTTGATCTTGAATATGACTTGATGTGCAATGGCTTCATACTGATATTCCGCCAACCTCCATTTGATGTGATCGTGAAGGCTCAATCCATCCAACCTCCAACATATTGTTTGTCTAGAATAACTAATAAGAAAACATAAACACTAGACAAACAATATTAGGAATTGTTTGTAATCATCAAAATAAGATTAGAAAATGTAGGCTCATAACATGAGACCTAACACCGACATCTTGCGAGAACGACTCGAAAGGTGTAACATGTCGATGATTCGAAAGGCGTTATGTGTTGTCCCCTGGTTGAGTCGACTGCTTAACCACTCCAATCGGCTAACTCATCGGCCAACACCTTGCAAGGGCGACTCAAAAGGCAGTACTTCTCAACCATCCGAAGAGTAGAAAGATAACGAAACGTCTCGAGACTCGAACCCCCTCCTGTGCACTGATGACCAACCACCTTGCAATAAATACCATTAAATACATTATGGGTGCCATCATTCCTCTGCCTCTAATAGTATTTATGACACATTGGACCACCTCGCACACCCCATCACTTCGCATTAAACATCAAAGAGATATCTTCTCCACTCATCGGCCGACACCTGTAAAATTAAGACCGGCGTGGCCGCCAGTCCATGCTCAGCCGAAATTACCCTTCTACCCTCCTGTCCCTACTATAAAAGGAGATACTATTTTTAATTACAAGGTAAGTTCTTAGCTACTACTCTCTGTGCTTAAGAACTACTACAATCCATTTTACTTCTCCACACAAGCAACTTACTGACATGATAGTCAGAGGAACAACCGGGGAATCTGACCTCGCCCTCTTACGATTTGTTACTTATGCATGGAAGAACAATTTGCTCAAGAACCAGACAATCAGAGAGTTAGAGGACCTCCTTCAACTCAACCACTCATCTATTTGACTGTGTGATTTCATACATCAACAGATATATGTTCTAAAAATAAAAAAATAAAAAATATTCAATTCTCAAATTTGAGTAACCAGCAATGAAACCAAAATGTAGTTGCAAAATGGTATAAAAAACATAGTAATACGAATATCTCATGGATTGGGATCACAAATTTACCCATTGAAAAGCAAGTTTAATTAAATATGTTGGGTTATATTAATCAAACCTAATCCTCAATTAAAAAAAAAGGAAAGTAAAATAGAACTACGGGTGACTTTACCGACAAGTAACCCCTTCTTGCAACTGTCACTCTAATTGGGTTCATATAAATTATCGTAATTAAGTGCTTAAACCCTACGCTAACTCTCTCTCTCTCTCTCTCTCTCTCTCTCTCATCAGCATTACATCGATTTCGATTCTGCGTTCTCAATTTCTCTAGCAATGGCATCGTCTGGTGTTTTCCCTTTCGAAAACCCCATTCTCAACGATCTTGTGGAGGCCCTTGTCGACATCAAAACCAAAACCCTAGTCGGCGGCGGCGGCGGCAATGCCACGTCGTCGGATCTAATGCCGCTGTCTCTGCCGACGGCGGAGATCCCGAGGAGGAAAAGATCGAGACAAATCACTATGAAGGGCATCCTCGAGGCCTACGAGAAAGAGAATGAGGAAGACGACCCAATGTGGGTCCCTTCTTCGAAGATCAAGAAGGGGAAGCCGACGACGACTAGGGTTTCTGATAAGGGGTCCAGCAAGAAGATGAATCCCGTGAAAGATTCAATTGAACTACCAAAGGTTTGATCTTTTTCCAGCTCTTTCTTTCTTAATTCTTGAATTCGATGCATCGTTTAGTTTTATGGTTTTCTTGATTCGAAATATTAAAGTTAGGGTTATTTGATTGATTTATTGGTTGATTTCTTCTTTTAGGGCAAAAATGCCTTTAAAAAAAAATCTCATCTTTTGTCTTAATAGGTAAACCAAATACACAGTAGATAAGCAATGCATCTCTGATTCTCTGCTTCCCTTACTGTTTTGTAATTTTCTAGTGTTCTTTTTTAACGAGGTGCGTTCTTGCTTTGAATTTACAAGCTACTTTTGGTTCGTCTTGTCTATGATTAAGTATATTATCGATGAAAATGTTTATTTTCCTATAAAATTTCAGGGTTATCTGATTGATATATAGGTTTATTTCTGATAAATGATGTATTTCTCTTCTCAGTTTTCTTTTACCATTTTGTAATTTTCTAATGTTCTTTTGCACCAACATTGGTTCTAATTTGGGCCTAAAAGGTAACTAAACTAGTTACCTTTTAGACTGCGCAACTATTTAACACTCTGTCACGTATGTTGTGGCTGAAGAGATTTTTTTTTTCTCTAGAATTTGTCGGTTTATTTCTAAGAAAGGTTTACTTTTAGGGAAAACTACCTCTTTTGAACAAATATAAAAAAACTCTTTATCTTTTGTCTTAAAGTAAATAAATACAATAGATAAAATAAAATATTTATATTTCCCAGTTTTCCATTACTGTGTTGTAAATTTCTGGTGTTCTTTTGCAACAAGGTGCATTTTATCTTTGAATTTACAAGCTACTTTTGGTTCCTGTTGTCTATGATTCAAAATGGATAGCTAAATTGATTACTTTTTAGACTGTGCAGTTACTGAACATAATCTTTCTTGCAGTATCTTATGGAAGTGATTGCACCCACGAAGTTTAAACTCGTAAAGTTTCAACTTACAGAAACAGAAAGAAATGGCGACAATTGCTTGAAAACATTTGATGATCAGAAATATGACAGAAAAGGGAAACGTAAAGTTGAAGATATTGAGCTTGTAGAGGAAAGCACTTGTAAGAGAGCGAAGGTAAAGTTAGATACCAGCAAATGCTAATAAGAAATGCCAAATTTGATTTATCTAGTTACAAAATAGTAACAGTAACTTACCACTGTTCACCTTTCCCTATGCAGTCAATCTTGCCTCCCGATCTTGTGAACAGTTGTTTCAGCCAGCTTGAAGCACTTCAGACCAGCACATAAGCTTCTCCGTTTGCACATAGAGCTGTCTTCAATCCAATGTAAAGAAGTAATTAAGTTCCAATTTATTTTACACATGTTTTTGATGCCTCATGAAGTCAGTGATATATCTGCCAATATTTTTTTTTTTAAATTTTCAATACCATTTAGATGCTTTGCACATCCTCTGTATTTTCAAAATTCAATGGAATTCAATCTTTTTATTTAAGTCAAGGATTCTATTTATTTTGGAGTATAACATTTTGTCAAGGAGTATAACATTTTTTGAATTCCAGTATAACATCGTAGCATCTTTTTTCAAATTTTGTTTAGGGTGAAACTCCACAGAAAAAGGGCCATGTCTTGCTCTGATAATTACAGAACTCCATTGTTTTTCAATTATCATTCATGGTCCATGATCCTGCATTTATAGAGCTGTTTCTGTTGTTTCACAAGTGATAAACAAACTTCCATAGTTTTACTTGTGACAAACGAATGAATAGAATAGAATCTTTTTAGCCTTATCCAATGCCCAAATAGACCAGGTTAGCTTAGCTTGTTGCTTACTCTTTAATAAAAGCTCATTTTTTTTACGTTGAAGCTGAAACATTTAGACTACCAATACTGAGGCTACATCTACCTTTTTTTAGCTATTTAAGACGCAATATGATTGCCAATAAAGTTTATGATTAATAGATTCACATCTAGCATGTTAAATAGACAGACTAGTTGACAAGTAATAAATATTTTGCGATGTCCCTAGTGTTTTCAAATTCTGCTGTGTTGCTACCAATTTAATATGATGCATAATTGCTTAATTCATTATTTCTATGCTATTGTCAGTGAGCGATTTCTTAAAATCTGTCTATGTGCACGAGCAATGTTTCCTATTTAATATATTATGCAGTTTGAATCACCATGTATGTATCTTATGTACACGGTGCTTTGAAGAAGCAAATTAAGAAGACCAAGCAAAATTATAAAACATAAAATGAATAAAAAAATAAAAGAAAAGAAGGAAAAGATGAACAAGAGAACTGAAAAACAAAGGGAAAAACAAAATCAGAAAATCACTAATAAAAATAATCTAGTAAAAATGGAAAAGAAAAGAGAAATAGATAAGAAAGAAAGAAAGACAAAGAATCAAGAAGAAAGAATCAAATGAAAAAAAGGTTGGAAGAAAAAAAAAAGATGAAAAAGGAAAGCTGGGAGAAAAAAAGGCAAGGCAAAACATGCATAACAAAATGGCTGATGAGGGTACTTCCTTTTCTTTCTTCTTTCTATCGCCAATACAGAATGCAGCTGATTTAGTCTCAAATTGCAAGGAGGCAGAGGGGTTATGGACTGATGGTTGAGGAGAGTTGATTAGGACTAGGACAATTGTCCAAAAATCCTATCCTAGGATTCAGATTAAAACAAGGATTTTTTGGTTAGATTGATAGACTAGGACTTTTTGTCCTCAAGGAAAAAACACTCCTAGCTTATATTGTTTGCATATCTACCCCTCAAATCTTCAATATTTACAAAATCACCCATCAAATATTGGGATTTGCATAATTACCCCTCAAAACTAGCATATTAGGTTCTTCTACCTCTCCAACTTAAGAATGTTGGTTTTTAAACAAGGCAAGGTGAAAATTTCCAATAATTTACAATTCGTTTGCAGCAATTTCCCCTTTAAAAACTAAAATTGTTAACTTAAATGGATAGAAAATATCAATGCGAGAGAATTGGGTGGTAATTTTGCAAATATCAGGATTTGGAGGGTAATTTGCAAATATGGAAGATTTGAGGGGTATACATGCAAAAACTCCTTGTTATTAATATTGTTTGTTCATATTGTACACCTATAGACAAATATGGGTGTATACTAAGACTAAAAGTAGGCAGGGGATTTATCTAGACCTGCATAATTCATAATGCTAACTAGCAAAGTTTCATTACGTGCTTAAGTGGCCTTTATTTAAAACTCCGTTGCCGACTAACCTTAGTTCTCACCCACTGTGGAATTTTACTCCCTTACTTTCTCATACACACTCATACACACACAACGTTCACAATGTCAGAATCAAACAACGATATTCCTTGCCTCATAGGTTCTATGCCTTACAAAGTAATTTGTTTTTCTAAATCTGCATACAATAAGTGGAACTGATGGAAGTTTTTGGTATTAATTTCAAAAGATACATGATGATCATGTTTTCAGGGGGCTATTTCTGAATTTTATCTGGCAAGAACTCCTGGAGGATATCAGCCAGTGAACTAAACACGGGGGTTTGATTACGGGTTTTACCATCTGCTGACTCTATGAAGCATTGACAGAATAGATGCCATGGTTATGCAGAATAGGAGTTCTTGAATATGCTGGTTGACTTGTTAAAAGGTAAAATTAAGGTAATTTAGTTAGATGTCTATACTGCAATGCCTGCTGAGTTAATGAAGCTGTTAGATTTATAGTATCCTAAACAGATTTTGAATAGGACTCATATTAAGAGGAAAGTTGGTTTATTTGTATGGAGTCAGGAGGGAAGGGTTAGATAGCATTTATATATTTGTTTCTAATTTTAATTTAGTATTTATTTGCATTGTGTAACTTCTATGCAACTCAACCTTCTTCATTGACTAAACAAGACAGAGCCTGGTTCACTTAAATGCGCTTACAAGATCCTATCTGACTTTACGCAAGTATTCAGGTTATGGACCCAACACATATTCATAATTAGGTATGGTCCAGGTCCTAGTCGGGTCTGGGTCGAGACCAAATCAGGTGTTGATATTAGATATTTATAGCAGATTAGTGAAGTCTAAAGAAAATGAGCCAAATGATATTTTATTACCTGTTCTCATGCTGAATGACATCGTCTAGATTTTGAGAAAAAAGCATCATTCTCATTTAACATTTGTTAATTTCTAGAATTATGGCTTCAAGAATATCATCATGCTCTTTTGGAACATCAGTAACCTTTTAAGCATGTAACATTTACTTAATATCCTTTTTATTATATGGATATATAGAAGTCAGAACAGACAACTTGGAGATCCTGGTGTCTAAAGAACATCATCAAGGATCCATTCAGATGTCTCAATTGTTCAGATTATATAGGTATTATTAGTTGCTTTACCTATTCATTTTCTTTCTTGTGGAGATGCAAATAAAAAACTAGAAAATTTTCAGGTAAATTTAACTGCTAGTTGTATTGATGAAATTTGTAAGCATATGAATGCGAACTTACCATGCAGGCATAGATTTGGCTTACATAGGTCTTGGGAGTGCCTAAGAATATCACAATTAGTTCCTTCAGAACCCATTATGCATTACACAATGTCGCAGTATATACAGTCTAAGAACTAGTGAACCTGATTCTCCATCTAAGTACGGGATTTAAATTGTGAACTATTGCTTCCCTCTTTATAATATCCGTGGATACTGATCCTGACCTGTGTTGTTATCATGTTTCAGTTATTAGTAGATTGCTTGAGAGTGTAGTAGTGAGTATAGCCAGTGCAAGGGTCAATCTGGCAACTAAAAGAACTTGGAGTTTCTGTGCAAGCCAGCCCTTGAAAACACTTTCGTCTCTAACATGCATGATTATGGAGAGTATTTCTTTATTATATAGAGATTTTTTGTGTTTTATTTACTAATAGTTTGCGTCATATTGAACCCTATACCTTTTGTTTATACTTATGGGCCAACAAATATCAAGTTATCTTAGTCCTCACATCTTAGTCCTCACACATGCGGAAAGCCTCTTGTAGATAGACGTTATGTTAATCTTAACACATTTTCAGATCATCTGATACTCCCTGCTCATGTTCATGCATATCATGGAGACCAAGAGTAATGTTTTCTAAACCTTCGAGAAATTATTAAGGACAGTTGGAGCTCAATTTCTAGGACGATAATATCAAAATCACTTTCTTAACATTCCGACTACAATTACCATGAGGCTCTTATTTTCAGTTCGTCTTGTTTGAATTCCCTTCGTTTAACCAAATAAGCTTGTAACCTAATCTTTCCACAATACCCGTGTTCATAACATTAAGGTAGACTATTTGGAGGCATGATATTAATATCATGATCCAGCATTCTCTACCTGCTATGATTATGTCATACTGAGCTAAAGCAAAGTGCTCAACCCCCAGGTAACCACCCTCATCCTACTCTAGAAAAGTTTGAAATGATCAGCGAAAGTCGTGATTGTCACAATTAGTCTTTTTCCCATAGAGCAGTACTTTTTTGGTTGCATCGTTGGAGATAACAAAGCTCCGGAGAAGAATAAATGAACTTTCTATTATCAGCTATCAGTTTAATGTCAAACTGAGGTTATGAATTTGCAGAGGCGAGCATGAGCAAGAGAGGGCCTCATGATAAAAACTTCTGAAGCTTGTAGGTACATCTAATTCATTTTATGCTTATAAAACTAAAAGGAGAGTTAGGTGAGAGATGTTGTAGGATGGAAATGGAAAAAGACGAGAGTATAAGTGAGAGAAATGAAGGAGGTGACTTAGTTATGAATATGGATAGCTAAGGGTTATCATCGAGCTGTTAGATTTGTGGAATCTTGACTTTGTTTGGATAGAATTATGGAGTTGAAATTATGCATTTTTTGAAAGTGGGGAAGCGAATGCTATGTCTTATCAAGAGTAGTGTTGAATCTACCCAAAAGGTAGAATAATGACTAAAAATTTTCTCCAAGTAAGAGTACATTTGTATAAATATTTCAATAAATATCAATACTAAACTTGAACTGTTTGCTTTAAAATATGTGACACTAGGTAGAATTTATGAGATTTTTTGTATGAATCTCGAAAACTGCATGCTATCATGATATCGTTGAACTTTAGGCTCGTTACTCCAAATATAGCATTTAACTGGTAACTTTGATTATGTTCCATTGGTTTTTCAACTATAGGATATAAATTTCCGTGAAGGCAAATGCAAAATGACTCTGATTAACATGATACACTCCATGCAACTGCTATCATAATTATTAATTAAACAAGGATGTCTACTAACACATTCTCCTATTATGAAATTTGAATGGCTTATTAACCAGGAGTTCACCTTAAGGGGATGTTGTTGTTGTGACATAGAAGCAAGTGTTTTTTTCATAATATAGAAGCAAGTAGGAAGAACAAATCTTAATACATTTCAATGAAATAATCCGCTTGAAATCAGGAAAAGTATTACAATGAATTTATTTCTACTTGATGTTTCAATAATAATGTGCTCAAGCAGAGATTTTATAGGAATAAGGGTGTGTTTCATGGAATGATGGTTGTTTAACTCACCATCTGAACTCGTGTTGATGAAGACCAGATTACTGCTTTAGCTTCTTTTTCTGCTTAAGGAGGCCATTTCTAGTCAATGTTGTTGTTGTGATGTAGAAGCAAATAATGTGTTCAAGCAAAGATTTTGCAGGAAAAATGGCGTGCTTCGCGGAATGCTGGTTATATAGGTAATTTTCGATTCCCTTCTTGTTGATACATTTCTGTTGTGTTTAGTGTTTAAACTCACCATTTGAACTTGTGTTGAAGAAGGCCAGATTAGTGCTTCAGCTTCTTTTTCTGCTTAAGGAGATCATTTTAACTCAATGTTTGATTTGAACTTGCTACCGCCGGTCAATCTTTGAGTGGTACCTGCAAAGATAAAAGAAAGGCTTAATTGTGGATAGACCCTCTGTAGTGCTGCATGAATTTTTTTGACTCTTTCACCCTCAGAGAAAGAGAAAGTTGTTTAATGACAAATATACCTCCTGAGGGTAAAGGAGTCCAAAGAATTTCACTAAGGGGATCTGTATACAATAATAGATCTTACCTGGGGTCTATGCCCAATTGGGTCATAGTGCAGGGTTCTATCCTCAATTAACCCTAAAAGAAATTAGGATTTTCCTGTTATTTCTCTGTTCACATGTTTATCATGCGTTCTACTGGTTATCTTGTTTTCCTTTACCTCTGAATATCATGCAACTTCAAATTAATCTATTAATTTTAGGGCATGTTTGGGAACTTGGTTTATAATCCACTTGGCTTATAATCCACAAATGAATTATAAGCCAAAGTGTTTGGTAAAAAAACGGATTATAAGCTACTTTTAATAGAAGCGTGTTTGGCAAATGGGTGGATTATAATCCATCATTGTTGTCAAAATTACCAAATTCGACATGACTCTAAATTTAAACATTGGAATAGACTTTGGAATTATCTTAAATGTTGAGGGGTAAACTTGACATTTACTTGGTCAAACTATATGGCTTATAAGCCACTAAAATATAAGTTGGATTAGGGGAGCTTCTTTTTTATTTTTTATTTTTTTATTTTTTTATTTGAGCTTATAAGCCAAAAGAAACCAGTTGCCAAACATGTTGCAGTAACTTATAAGCCACGAAAGTGGCTTATAAGCCAGTTTGACCAGTTGCCAAATCTGTCCTTATTTTTAGCATCATCTAGTTGCTTCAGTTCTACCTCTTTTATTTGAGAAATTCAAAGAACTCATAATTATGATATGAGGATTTGCACTGTCTCTGGAGTTCCATGAAAGGTATGTGCTTCTACACAAACAGCCATGATTCTAGTGATGGGATTTGCAGAATCTTTTCTTTATGCCAATGTATACAGTAGATGTAATGTATAATACATTAACGTATAAAAAGAAATGCAATGTACGCTTGCTGGAAACTTTTGAAAGTAAAGAAATGTGTGTGTATCTGCTTTTAGAAATATCACCTGGTTGTTGCAACAGTCATGCTTTTTTTTATCTGTCTGTTTTGGTTCCTTGATTATCAAGTGCTGAGATTGGCATAAAGAAATGTCTCTTTCATGTTTTCATGTTAATATTTTGCATAGTTTTATGGTCTTTACGTCAGAATTTTGGACCTCATAAAATCTTGGTTTTATAATTTGATCAATTTTAAGTCTTGGGGAATAATATGTACCGGTAAGCTGCATGGTATTGTTCTTAGTACAGTCTTGTTATCAGATTTTGGGTAATATTTGCCTTACATTTACCGCTTTCTATGATAGATGTCTATGTTCAGAAGACTTATCACACCACTCCTCATGTTTCTTGTCTTGTTGAATTGACTACTTGAACCTAAAGCTTTGTTTGGCTCAAAAAAAATCAAAACACAAGTAGTTGAGGAATGGTACGGAGAGACCAAGATTGGAAAAAGTTTTGAAAACAAAAGTAAATATATTGTGGTGGTAAATTTAGGAATTTGAAAAGAAAACTTAGGGAAAATGAAATTGTGATGGAATTGTTTTTGTTGTTTGTTAAACTGACAGAGACTGCGTGGTGACAGAACCATTTAAGAGGATGTGATTGATCTCTTAAGCATGAGTGGTAAATTTAGGAATTTGAAAAGAAAACCTAGGACAAAAACTGTGATGAAATTGCTTTGATCTCTTAAACCATGAGAAGTTCACGTGATTGATCTCTTAAGCATGAGGAGTGGTAAATTTAGGAATTTGAAAAGAAAACCTAGGGAAAAAACCGTGATGAGATTGCTTTTGTTGTTGGAAAACACTACAGACACACCCCCAACCACACCTTGGGGCACACCCCCTCTCTCAGCTACAGTGCACGTGACACACTTTAGATTTTTTTAAAAATCTAAAGTGGGTCCCGTGCACTGTAGCTGAGAGAGGGGGTGTGCCCCAAGGTGTGGTTGGGGGTGTGCCTGTAGTGCCACTTCTTTGTTGTTTTCTAAACTGGCAGAGGCTGCAGTAGTGACAACAGTTTAAGGGCCGTGGAGTTTATGTGGAATTTTAGTGAAGTGTTTTACATTTGGTTGCTAATTACTATTCCAACAACCAAAGAACCTGTCATGCTTTTTTTTTCGTTTTCGTGTAAGGTCCAGAGAACATGTTGGCAATGTTTGAGGCCACCATCTGGGTTTTGTCTTTCATAATTAATAGCGAGACCGAGATGCGTACTAAGAAATCATGGACCACTTCTCTTGAGAAAGGTACATACCGAATCTGTTATAAGAAGTAAATGGTATAACGCAGATAATTGTTACACGGAAATACTTAGATATTTGATGTATACGGAACTAGACCCATGAAGTTTCATTTTCCTATCAAAAATCTGTAAACCGAGATTTTGAAAATCTATATGAGCGCTTAGTGTTCTTTGTTGTCATGCCCCAAGCCTGTGGGCCCGTTGGCGCGTGCAAGCCGTGGGACCCACTGAGAGCAACTCGATATTGGCTAAAATCCACTGCAAAAATGCTACCGCTAGTTATTCTTGGGCCTTGGGCTTGTCTATTTAAGCCACTAATATTTCTTCACACTAGTCTTATGTGGCAATAAAGTGGGGGCGTCACAGTTGGAACATCAAATATTCATTGAGGATATGTCGGTTAATTAATCGCTTCATTCTATCTACTTTAATGAGGAATGATACTGCAGATTGATGAAATAAAGAATAATGGTTAGAAAAGATAATCGCAGAAATACAGTTAATCAATATTCGGTAATCAATTTGATAGCCTGCGTCCTTTGTTGGTTCAAATTTTCTCTCTTTTGGCTACAATTAAAATAGATGACTGAATATGCATATTTTTATGACAAGATTTTTTGTAGTGGTGTCATTTTGTAGGGGCTCATTCTGAGGTAAAATGTTATCCATTCTTCATGTAAATTTGACTTCACAAAACAACAAATAATAGATATTCTTCATTCCGCAGGCCCAAGATCATAAATGACCGAAGAGGAAACTAGAAATCAAATGAAAATAAATGATGAAGAACGAACCCTGTTGAGGGTCGAAGTGTTTGTTGGGACTTCATTATTGGCAACATCATTAGGGCCATTGGTGGAGTCAGGATTTTAATCCTATGGTGTCCTATAGATGCATTGGTAATGGTAGAAAATACATCTCTCTCAACATAAACCACCAAACTATCATTAAGCTGAAAAAATTCGAACCCGCGCGCATGTTGGGTTCCTTGCGAGATTCGAACCCGCGCGCATGCTGGGTTCCTTGAGACCCTTTTCCGCTAAACCATCTATACTTTTGTTATTTTTATACGTGTTCTCTGGTAGATATTCAGTTTTTACTGGTGTCCTGGGAACCCAGGGGCACCCATTCAGCTCTGCCCCACGATTAGGGCGTGCAATGAAGCTCTTGAAGAGCCACCGCCCTTCTCGATCTCCACACACTGCATCAACATTGATAAGGCCTTTTAGCTTTACTCTCCTTAATTTTCACTTGGTAAGGCCTTTTAGCTTTACTCTCCTTCCTGCTCTCTCACTCACTGCATCAACATTGATATTTCAATGCACAGGCCTAGATAGTACGTAGTTAGGAAAAAACCCCAAAACCCCACCCAAAAAAAAAAGAAAAAGTAAAGAAAACCCCAACTACCACCCAATTGTGTGTAGACCCCCTGTAATTCTGTTCGTGCACATAGAACCCCTTGTAAAATTTCCCAAGTGCAGATAGACCACCTTAGTGAATTTCCTTGCTCTTAAAAGATTCAACAAAGTTCACTCAAGGGTATGTGTGAGCAAATTGTTGGGAATTTAACGCCTAAACCCCTAATGCAACAGAAACACAGTATAGAAAAAATACATCAAGATTTACGAGGTTCGGCAACTGCCTACGTCCTCGGGAGCCACACAGATAATTTCTTATTAATCAAACAAGAAATTATAATTTAGGAGCAGATCTCAAAACTGAGATTTCTCAAATAAACACTGTAGCTACAGTGTTAATAATTAAAGGGTATGAACCCTTTCAATTCTCACTTGAGAATAAAGAATAACCCCACAATAAAAAAGCCTATTTTCCTTTTCTTCTCTCTCTTCTTAAATCCCCTCAACCACTGTTGAATGCTGGGATTTAATCACCAAATCGCAGCTGCGATTTGGGGGTTTTCCGCCGCCGCCAGGGAAGAAAAAATCGGAGAAGGGGGAAGGCTCAGCAGAAACCTTAGGTCGACGGGGGAGGGGTTTTATAGACGGAAATGACAGGCTGGCGACAGCCTGTCGCCAGCCACGCGAGCGTCCTTCTTTGACGCCAAGTTCGCAGGCCCCGAACGCAGAGGTCGGACCCCCCAAACGCAGAGCTCGCCATCGCCAAACGCAGAGCTTGATCTACACCCCAATTCTAACAATCTCCCACTTGGAGATCAAACCGCCGTCAACAGGCTATCCCATCAAACTCCTCTCCTGTGTGGCTCCGCCTTCATCATCTATGCATGAAGGCCAACTGAAGTTGCGCACAACTCCAGTTTCTGAACTGTCACCGTCTTTGTTAACATATCTGTTGGATTCTTACTTTCTGGAATCTTTTCCAGTTTTAACACGTCATCTTCCAACATGGATCTGATGAAGTGGTACCGAAGCGCAATATGCTTCGTTCTAGAATGAAATGCTGAATTTTTCGCCAAGTGTATCGCACTCTGGCTATCACTGTGCAAAACATTCTTCTCCTGTTTGAATCCCAGCTCTGTCAACAAACCTTGAAGCCATATCATCTCTTTACTGGCTTCAGTCACTGCAACATACTCAGCTTCTGTAGTGGATAGGGTAACGATCTTCTGTACCTGTGACATCCAACTAACAGCTGTAGTTCCAACGGTGAATACATAGCCGGTGGTGCTTCTTCGGTGATCAACTTCGCCGCCGAAGTCTGCATCTACGTACCCTTGCACTTCTACCTCTCCCTTACCAAAGTGCAAACACTTCTGTGTAGTGCCTCGTAGATATCTCAGAATCCACTTGACCGCTTCCCAATGAGCTTTTCCTGGATTCGACATAAACCAGCTGACCACTCCCACTGCATGGCCAATATCTGGTCTCGTACAGACCATTGCGTACATCAAACTTCCGATAGATGAGGCGTAAGGAACATGAGCCATGCTCTCTTTCTCTTCTTCTAACTGAGGAGACTGATCCTTCGATAGATGAAAATGGCTGGCCAAGGGTGTGCTCACAGGCTTGGCATTGCTCATGTTGAATCTTTGCAAAACACGGTTGATGTACTCCGTCTGAGATAACTGCAAGAGACCTCTCTTCTTATCTCTCGTGATTTGCATTCCAAGGATCTTCTTCGCTGGACCCAAGTCCTTCATGTCAAACTCCTTTGACAGCTGCTGCTTCAAACTCTTGATATCCTCCATATCTGCTCCTGCAACCAACATATCATCAACATACAGCAGTAGGATGATATAGCTGGACTGATATCTTTTGAAGTAGCAACAGTGGTCGGCGTTGCACTTCTGGAAACCTTCCTTGTGCATGAAGCCGTCAAACTTCTTGTACCACTGTCTTGGGGCTTGTTTCAGGCCATACAAGCTCTTCTTGAGTCTGCACACCAGGTTCTTCTTCTTTTCTTCTGAGAAACCTTCTGGCTGGTGCATGTATATCTCCTCTTCTAGATCTCCGTGAAGAAACGCCGTCTTCACGTCTAACTGCTCGAGATGAAGATCTTCAATTGCTACAATACTCATCACGGTCCTGATAGTATTTAGCTTCACCACGGGAGCGAAAATATCGGTGTAGTCAATTCCTTCCTTCTGCTGGAAACCTTTGACAACTAGCCGGGCTTTATATCTTCTGGAACCATCCTGCTCCTCTTTCACCCGGTACACCCATTTGTTGTGGAGTGCCTTCTTACCCGTGGGCAACTCAGCTAGTTCCCACGTCTGGTTTGATATGAGAGACTTCATCTCATCTTTCATTGCAAGCTCCCACTTGCTCGCATCTCCACACTGAC